GGCCATCCATCAACTCCCTCTCAGAAGTCCCTGGAGATCTCCTGATTCCTGCCTTTCTTTGTCTGGCTGCTCCACAATTCCTTGGAATCCATGGGATATCTTGGCAGCCTTCCAACATAAGTTCCCTTTTCCCTTTTGGCCAATGTCCTTTTCTTATACTTTCATCCAAATGACATCAACTGATACAATCGTATTTGAGACACCGTTAGGCTCTGGTGACACAAAAATCAAGTAAAATATTATCTCTGCCCCACAGCAACATCTATTTGAAATTCTACCCAGGTTTCAAATCACAATCTAAAAGCCCCTTCCCTCCTTTAAGTTTTCCCATATTCTCAAGCAAGATTAATCTCTTTCTGATATATTGTCATTGCATTTTGCTTTACCTCTCTGACAGTCGTCTCTTCGAGCTATTCTGAATATTTGCCTCTCCCACTAGTTGTGAACCCTTTAAAATCAAGAGCTAGATATGTCTTCTTTTAGTCTCCTGACTCCTAGCACAGTATCATAAACAGATCATTTGAAAAGAACATCTATTGCTTTGTCTGTCCATCATTCTCTTCCCTTTCTATTGATAACTGCAACCCAAATTTCCTTTGGGAAATCGGCCTTCCTTCACACTCAATCCCATACTTTGGGTGGGTTCTAGAAGTACATGACCTAGATTTGGTCAGAGGCACAGTGGTTGGAATGTGTGACCTGTCAGGGCCAATGGACATCATATCTGAGATTCTAGCTGGAAGCATTTGAAAAGAAACCCTCTTAATGGGGGTTGTTCAGCTGTTAAGCCATAAGCCTGCAGCTATTGATGGTCGTCTTTGCCAAACATGGGGAAAATCTGATTATTAATGAAACAAATACAGTAGAAAAGAGAAGATAAGAGAGATAAATTCTAATAATAATACATCAGAAATTTCATACAGACACCCCTGGACCTATTATCAGGAACGTTTTCAGTTACATTAATTCCCTCTGTGTTAGTTTTCAGTTTTGCTTGTTTTTTGTTTTTTTTTTTTCCTGCTTAAGCCAGTTTGAGGTGAGTTGATGACACTTGCAATGGAAAGAGTCTTGAGTCTTGTCATTAATTCATTCATTCAACAAATGTTTATTGACATAAAGTTCTATGGGAGCCCTGAGAAGGGAATGATTAGTGTGACTGAGGTGAGACTGGGGAAGAGGTTGGTTTAAGAGGGGAGATGAATTCTACAACAAAAATAAATAAATAAATAAAGACTGTTGTCAATTTTTTTTTTTTTAAAGAGGGGAGATGGAAAGGGGGAAGGCATTCCAGAGAGAGGGGACAGCTTGAGCAAAGGGCCACAGGCCTGAAAATGTGTGGTCCATTTCTGGCCAGCAGGCTCCCTAAAGAGCATGCTAAAGAACAGTAAGAACTGGGGTAAAGACCAGAATCTTAAGAGAACTTATAGAACCATGCCAAGGAGTTAACCCTTTGGCCAAAGGAAGATATTTAAACTGTGAAGTACGATATAGACACACATGTAGATGTAGATGTAGATGTAGATGTAGATAGATAGATATAGATAGATAGATAGATAGATAGATAGATAGATAGATAGATAGATAGATTTTTTTTGATAGATAGATAGATAGATAGATAGATGATAGATAGATAGATAGATGATAGAGAGATGATGATGATGATGATGATGATGATGATAGATAGATAGATAGATACATAGATACATAGATACATAGATACATAGATACATAGATACATAGATACATAGATACATAGATAGATACATAGATAGATACATAGATACATTCGAATACACAAAGTGAGAGCAGATGAGGATCTGGACCAGTCCAAGACTGACCATAGCTATCTTCTCCTGACCCCAATGGAAAGTTACCTCTTAGGGATAAGGACTTTGAAGATACCACTTATAGACCTGAGAACTCAATCTGAGGCTATAGAACTTCCTTAGCTCCCTGGTAACATTGAAGGAAATCTTTTGGGAGGCAATACTCCTGGTTTATTGTCTGATTCTAACCCATGGAAATAATGTTAATAAAGGGTGAGCAAGTTCAGGTCTCGTTGGTGGAAAAGATGCTTTGTGGGTGTGAAACTTTGGGATGCCCATCAGATCCTACTGGTAGGCAGTTGATTATTTCACCAGTGCCTGAGACCAGCCCTCCTCCACCCCTCATCTGCAAGAGAGGAGGAAAAGAGGTAATTTCTGGTGCTGGGCGAACTTCTGGAGCTGTGGCCCCACCCTGTGATGTAAAGGAGGAACTGTGCAGAGCCCATGGTGCAGCGGCTGTTCAGAGAATTAGGACCGCTCTTAACAAAGTGGTGGCCACAACAGAGCTGAGATGGGAAGGTACAGCAAAGTAACTGGGCTAGTATGGAAAGTGTGGGGGACCAGCAAGGGGGCACGGCTTGTACAAGGAAAGGAAGAGGGGTCGGGAGCCTTACTGCTACCGGCAAGAGTAGATGTGACTGATGTCTCAGGGCCTTTCTTGGTTCCCCTCCACGGCTGGAGTTCTGACATCATTCCGTTTCTCACAGCTGCACATCTGGATCCCAGAGGAAGAAAGACCCTTAATGTGGGTCTCCTAGCAAGAGAAAAGTTTCCTGGGTCCCAATTTCCAAATTTTCAGCATCAGTTTCTAATTCTTTTGGAGGGAAATCAACCCCTTCCAGGGGATTTAGAACTCTGGATTCTGGGGGTAGGGGTAGGAGAGTCGAAGGAGAACATGAGACTCATTAGGAAGGACTCAGTTTGTCCGGGGTAGTGGCAGGATGCTGGGATAGAGCCTCAGAAATGGCATTACATTTATTTGGGACACTCCTTCCCAGGTGATTCTGATGCTGACAGAACCCACATGATAATTTGAGTCTATTGCTCTGGGAAATCCTGTGGGTAAGTGGGGCAGGCCACTCCTGGGGAAGAGAAGCTGCACAAACAATGAAATAAGTGCCCACTCCAGAGTCATGGGGAGAAGTAACTATGCTGCGTGGCTACGATTGGCATATGGCACGCACAGGAATCCTTTCTTTATGACATTCAGTCCTCCGAATCAGGGGCTCTGACTTTTCCACTCCAGAGGCTGCCTCCTTCAGGCCTATGATTCTGAAGTGTGTACCTGGGGGAAGTTCAAGTGAAGTAGAGTAACTGGGTGTGTCTGGAGGGCCAAAGTCCAGACAGCAGGGAAGTGGATTCAGACTGTACAGAGTTACAGATTATAACAGACTGCGGAGCCAGGCTACTGGGCTTAGAATCCCAGCTTGGCCACTTAGCAGCTACATGACTTTAGACAAGTACACTCTGTGTTTCTTCATCTCTAAAATGGGGGTGATAATAACACACCACAACACACACATACACACCCACGCAAGTGAAGCAAGTTTAACCAACAGTCCTCTCTTTTTCTCTCCCTCCTTGGTTCCTTCCTGTCCTCTGTAACTTATCCTATGTAATTGCCTTCAGAGAGTACAACCCAACACAGATCCTTTTAGAAAAGCAGGTTTATTGGTCGGGCTGCTCACCAGGACACAGCAACATGAGAGGCTCCCTAGAGCCTGCAGGAAACTGCGTCTGCCCACAACTTAGGCCCCTTTCGCGCATCAGCACCAAAGGACCTTGTCCCACAATCCCCCTCTTCCCTCAGCTGACCTGTCTCTGAGCATTCAGAAAAGAGAAGGAGACCAAGGAAAGCAGGGGAGGGGGGTGGGAAGGGGAGCGAAGCTTTGTATTGTAAAAAAAGGTTTGTGTCCCCAGGCTCCCTCCCTCCCTCCACCCATTAAAATAATTAGCTGCAATTCTAAAAAGCAGAGCAGGGGAGATAAGGCAGAGGAGGTGGTGGAGAAGGAAGAAGCCTTCAGTCCCCTCTTCGGACTGTGACTTGCAGGGGAGGGGAGTTGCCCTTGCTTCTGACAACTCCCTTTACTGGGGAGGAACGGTGGGACTTTAGCATCCTGAGGAGAACCTAGAAGCAGCAACTCTCTTACCCGCAAAGATTCAGGAGAGGAATTCATAAGGGCAAGGAGGTCTTGGCAAGTTCTACATCTCTTATACTAGCTCTAGGGAAGGATCTTGAGAAGAATCTTCCGGGAGTGAGGCAAGGCTGGGTTGCCCTATACACAGAGATACTATACTCTGCTCACTACCCCTCCAGCTCTCAGTTTCATGGCCTGGCCATTAGCACCTTGCTCTCTTTCTAACAGCCTCCCTCCTAACTCCAGCACTCCGCAGTCTGGTGCTGCCCCCTTCTGGGACCCTAATTTTCTGGGCTTTGAGGAATAGACTGCTCCTGGGGCACCATCCAGAGCCCAACTGAGGGATGGGATGACGCTTACCTCTCTCTTTGGTTCATCGCTTTCTCACACTGTCCTCTGTCCTTATCCTGAAATGGTCCTGCTGTCCTCTGAGAACCCCAGTAGGATGGGATTCTAGTCCTGTGTTTCTCATGCTGCTAATGAAGAGAACGCTCGTCTCTTCACCCATTTCCACTGTCTACTATTTCCCATTCTTTTTCCCAAAGCCATAGCCATGTGTGCAGATACAGAAGTGTGTGTGTGTGTGTGTGTGCCGCCCACCCCACTACCCCACCACCTTCCCCAGGATTCCACTTAGCTCCAGCCTTCCTTGTTGGGAGCCTTTGCAGATACAGCCTGTGCTAGACCCTCATCCAGGTTCATGGCTCACTCTGCCCTTTCTCCTCCATTGCCCAGGTTCTCCCAAAAGCTGCTTTCAAGTTCTCCCAGCATAGGACCTCCCACGTGGGCAAGGGGCTTCCTCAGAATTCCCTCTTTCCTATTATGGCAATTTTGGCTTTGAAGCCTCCAGGGTTC